AAATTTTAAATCTCCTTTTAATTAGTAAATTACTAATTAAAAAAAGGAGATTTTAGGGAGGGGTAAATTTTATATCTTCCAATATCTATTATAAAAGATCGGCAACATCTCCCAATTTACTATTAAAAATGCGGGAGGTCTCCTGGGAGGGGTAAATTTTAAATCTCTCGCATCATAGGGAGGGGTAAATTTTATATCTCCCAATATCTATTATAAAAGATCGGCAACATCTCCCGATTTACTATTAAAAATGCGGGAGGGGTAAATTTTAAATCTCTTATCTCCCGGGAGGGGTAAATTTTAAATCTCTTATCTCCCAGAAGGGGTAAATTTTATATCTCCCAATATCTCCTGACAAATCCTTATAATTTCTAATTTTTTTTGCAAAAGTTTTACTTTTCTACTCCAATACCAATTGACCAACTTTAAGCTTGAATATAGTTTAATTCAACTGCTTTTTTATAATGATAGAATGCTTTACAATTGTAAAATTTTTTTAAGTAAATTAGTTTAGCAAATTTGATTAAATATAGTTGTTACACAATTAACTGTTTATTCGATAAATAAAATTAAACAGACGTTAATTTGTTAAATTTTTCGTAATACATCTTTGAAACATTAATATTTTTTGTTGTTCCAATACCATTTTCGTAATAACGACCTACATCATGATATGCTTGAACATAACCCAAACCAATAGCCTCTAAATAATAAATGAATGCTTTACCCTTATTTTCTATAATACCAATTCCGTGTTCATAACAACGTCCAACATTGTATATTCCTTCAGCATTATTCATCTTGGCAAATTCTTGATAACAAATAAACGCTTTATATTCGTCTTTTTTAGTTCCAATTCCATGTTCATGACAATATCCAAGCTTGTTTTTATTGCCTTCCCCAATGTATTTTTTGAAATCTTCTCTTTCTTTTTTGATACCTTCTTTACTCGATTCGATAAAAGCGATCAAATTGGTGTACGTATCTTTATCAACTTTTTCATAACATTCCAAAGCCTTTTGACAATTTTTTTCAATTCCAATTCCATAAAGATAACAACAACCAAGTCTAAATAATCTTTCAGCAGAACTTAATTTAGCGGATTTTTTGAAACAATAGAAGGCGGTTTTGTCCTTTTCATCTTTAGAAAGAGTGTCTTTTTCTTCAGTGAGATAACGTCCTAAATACAACAATAATATTCGACAGCTGTTTTTGTAATCCTCATTCTCGTCACTGGTTTTAATAATTTCGTCTATATCCATCGGTTGAGGAAAATTTTCATTATACATTACGGTCTTTTTTTTTTTAAAAAAAAAAAACAAAAAAAAGAAACCAGAATTACCTATATTTTTTTTCAGTTCATAAATTGATATGTTAATCTTTTCCATCTTGACTATTCATTTAAAATAGCAGAATGGAATACTTTTATATAAAATTTATGATAATCTTACTACGCCATTAAATCTGGTTTAACGAGATTGATGTCATATGATTCTATGGACATCGTAACAGTTAGTAGATTTAAAATCGTTGCTTTTCAATCTCCCGTCTAATCTATGAATCTTTTTGTAAAAGCCAAACTTGGCCTTTGCTAAACCCAATAATTCGTCAAATAAAAAAAAAGATAGTTTAAACAAAAAATTGTTTATTTTATTTAATTTATTTACTAACTAAATTTAGTTTGTATAGAAAAATATTATTTTTTGCTAATCATAAATTACAATATAAAAAAATTATTCATTTTTAAAATCTTCAATTATTTGAAATTCAACGTATTTGTAATCGGGTTGAATTCCAAGAGCTGAACATGAACCTAAATATAATTGACTAGCTATACCGAATAAATCTAACATTCGTTGTTTATTTCTATTTAATTTTTCAACATCACTTTGACCCATATGTTCAAATGGTTCAATAGTTTTTAACCTATATCCAAGTGCGCGGAACATCGGTTCATATACGTCTAAAAAATTTTGAACTTTTGTACAGTTTTCATTATTTGCGTGAAGAGTTCCATTCTTCATTACTTTAAATACATTAAGATAATCGTTGACCAAATCTTTATGAATACTGTTTATTCGTTCCTTCTTTTCTTTAATTTTATCAGCCATTTTTCTTCTTTCTTTTAATTTTAATGAACTAATATTTTATATATGTGTAAAAGAAAAAACAATAAATATACTCACTTATTTTTATATTTTTTTTTAAAATATTTATTAAAATCTTCAATTTTTAAAAAATGTTTTTTACTTTTTCAACTGCTAACATGTGTCATTTTATAAGAATAAATACAAATACATTTTTAATACTTACCGTTTTTATACTTTCTAAGAAATAATAAATTTGGTTAGTGGAACAAAAAAATCAGATTTATTTTGATCATATGGAAATGATGTTCGCGAAATCATATGATCATAGAAAATCTGATCTCCGCTCAAAATTATATAAAAGGTTCACAGTCAAACGTTCAACTCTGACCAATCAGGTTAGAATAAAATTATTATATAATATTTCTACAAAATTGGTTATTTAAAATTTACAATAGGATATATAAAGAAAGATTCTCATAATTATATTTAAATAAGTAAGATAAAAAATGAACTTATTCGAAAATTTATATTCTTCACAGAGGTATTTTTCAATACTAAAAATTATTTAAAAATAAAATAATATTAACGATAAATTCTTACAGTATCTATTCAATTGACTCAGCCACTTACTGTAAAAATTTTTTTATTTATACAGGCTGACTCAGATCGAGTTTATTAGTGAAGTCGACATCCTATAGTATAGGAGGGGTAAGATTTTTCATATCTCCCTCATAGTAAATTACTAGTAAAAAAAGGAGATGTGGTGGGAGAGGTAAATTCCATGTCTCCCGGTTTTAATAGTGCTGCGGGGAGATATCACTAGTAAAATTGGGATATCTCCCGGGAGGGGTAATTTCCATGTGGGAGGGGTAATTTTTAAATCTCCCGGTTTGATAGTGCTGCGGGGAGATGTCAATTTTTATTACGAGTGTCAAAACGCAGAAACATTTATCGAAAGTCAAACGTAAAAATACGATATCTTCACGAGTTTCATTCGTTTGATCTGAAATTTCACAGACAAATTCTTGGATACCATACCACAATCGGTATTAATTAAGGTTTTAATGAGCGAAACCATTTACTTAGCGTAAGGGGTTGTTTTTGTGAGAAAGTTGCCAAAATTTACGATGAAGTTTTGGTTAATGTGACGGAAAACTAGAAAAAAAGATTGACGTTTTATCTCCTTATAATTTCTAATTATTTTTCGATCTAGTAATTATTGGTTTAAGTTTGGCTTTTGCTATTCCAAGTGATTACGTTTATTATTAAATAAATTACTAAATATTTTATCCATGTTAGGTAATAACACGTCCAAATGTGGATTATTAACTGTCCACATTTAGTAATTTTATTTAAACATCATTAAAAGTGAATCGTAAAAATGCTATATCTCCACGAATTTTCATCCGTTTAACCTAAAATTTTACACACCAATTCTCGAATACCATATCCACAATCCGTATTATTGATGTTTTACATGCTTCATTTGAGGAAAGTGGTCTTGTGATCGATTGAAAACCGTCGGCAATTTTCGAAAACGTATGAGCGAAACAAGTACAAAATCGTGAATATCTCTGCGAATATCTGACAAAACAGGCTAAAAATTGAGATTCAGATAGTCCGATATTCCATCCACATGTTTGCTTAGAAGCGTAAAGATGGTTTTCTTATGACAAAATTCAACTATGGAAACGTTCATCGATCATCTTGTAAAATGTATAAAATACCTAGTTACCTAATAAAATCAATTATTATTGATTAACAAAAGTTCTATTCTCATTGTTTAAATAAATATCAAGATGGAAAAGATTAACGGATTAATAAATATGTCTGAATTAAAAAAAAATATAGGTAATTTTTATGTGTTCTTCCCATTTTTTTAAGAGTTGTTATGTCTGACGAAAATTTTCCTCAACCCATGGATATTAATAATATAGATAATATTATCAAATTCATTGATGAAGATGAAGACTATAAAAATAGTTGTCAAATATTGTCATTTTGCTTAGGATATTATCTTTCTGAAAATGAAGAAGAACGAGAAAAAATAAGCAAGACAAAAAAAAAACTCGCCTTTCATTGTTTTAAGAAATCTGCAAAATTAGAATTTCCTGATGGAATGTTTCAAGTTGGCAATTGTTATTATCGTGGTTTTGGAGTTGAAAGAAATTTTCAAAAAGCTTTAGAATATTATGAAAAAGCTGTTGAAAAAAAATATATACATGTCAACCTTTATGGGCTTATCGAATCTAGTAAGAAAGGAATTGAAAAAGAAAAAGAAAATTTTGAAAAATACCTTAAAGAAGATAATAAAATTAAACTTGGATATTGTTATGAACATGGAATTGGAACTGAAAAAGACGAATATAAAACATTTATTTATTATCAAGAATCTGCTAAAATGAAAAGTGGTGAAGGAACATTCAATGTTGGATGTTGTTTTGAAAATGGAATCGGTATTGAAAAAGATAATTGTAAAGCATTCAATTATTATAAAAAAGCTGCTGAATTAAACTATATTCAAGCTTTTTATAAAGTTGGTCATTGTTATGAAAATAGTATTGGAGTAGAAAAAAGTAAAATTTTTGCAGATATTTTTTATGAAAAATTTGAAAATTTAAATTAAATATTATCTTTATAATAAAATTAATTTTAATAAACGCTATAGTTTATTTTATTAACAAATAATAATAAAGATGTGATAACTTTATTATTTAAAGAAACTCGGTTTTATTTGACAAAGTGTTTGAATAATTTGTCCGTTTGACTTGAAATTTCATACATAAACATTCCTCTAAAACTTTATTATGATCGTAAAATATGTTTTATTTGACCATCATGCTCAAATTGATTGATATTCTTATCCACGAATATCTGATGAAAAAGGCTGAAAATTAAAATTCGAATAGTCTGATATCCCATCCAGAACCATAATTTTATTCATTTTAATTACTAAATGTAGATTTATATATTAGGAAAATTTCCAAACGTAGATTTCTACATATGGATAAGTAAAAAAATCACATGACTTAAAGGACCATGGATTCGTATTTTTAAAACAACGTAAATTAATTTAAGAGATTTCGAAAGCTATAAAACCAGGACATAGAAAGATAAAACATTATTTAATTGATAAAATGTATTTATCAAAACGAAAACAACACCTGTTGGATCTTAAATTTTGTCAAAAATATTCATTTGAAATTCTTCTTTCATTAGAAGGTTCAACAGCAATAAGATTAAGAAAGAAAGAATTAATTGAATGGTTAAAGAAAGAAAATATCAACGAATATGAAGAGTATTTTAGAATAAATTTTCTTCACATTTTTAATTTAGAAATGTATCTAAAATTATATAAAAACAATTTTACTCTTAAAAAAGAAACTTGGCAAATTGTTTTTTTCTTGATTGGAGATATTGAGAATATATTTGATTCAATTTGTAGAGTTTTTGGAAATAATTTTATTACGATTATTTCTGAAGCTGATTATAGAAAACAGTTTAATAACGAAAAATCACCAGCTTTTGTAGTTAAAGAATTCGTACGAAATGAGTGGGATATGATATTTTATGATATTTACGATAGAAGAAAATTTTTATTTTTCATTACAAAATTTGAAGTTGACGAATGGAAAAAGAATTTCGGTAAATTAATGTATTGTAATGAAAAACACTACAAAGAAAAGATGAGTTGGAGATTGGGGGAAGCAACAATTTTAAACTTGAAGGAGAAAAAAGAAAGTAAAATAGATACAATTTTAAATGATAGTTTAACAAATTATAAATTTTCACCAAATTCATATGCTTAAAACGATTTTATAATAAATATTAAGAAATTTTAATCATTTCAACTACAAGTTTTTTAGTTTCAATTAAAAACTCCTTATCATCACAAATAATTTTATATTTACATTCAACAGAATCATCATCTTGTGTAAATATAATCCTTTGTTCTTGATTTATTAACTTTCCGCTTTCAATTTGTTCGTAAACTTCGTTATGAAAATTCTTATAATGCTTCTTCATCTTAACAGCCGTTGAAGAATTAATTTTATAATTTTGATTGCATTTTTTACATTTTACATTTTTTTTATCTAAATTTTTATCAAAATAATTCCAAATTTTATGACGAGTAAAAATTCTTGGCATCTTATTTAATTAATAAAAGGAGATTGTCTTCTTTATATACTAAATTTTATAGATCATTTTAACAAATCTTTAAAAAAAAACAAAAATTGTCAATTTTTTTAAATAAAATAATTAGAAATTATAAAGGAGATATAAGGAGATATTATCTTCATCTCTCAATTTAATTAGTAAAAAAATTTACCCCTCCCTATGATACGTGAGATTTAAAATTTACCCCTCCTTATGATGCGAGAGATTTAAAATTTACCCCTCCCGGGATACGGGAGATTTAAAATTTACCCCTCCCACATTTTTAATAGTAAATCGGGAGATGTTGCCGATCTTTTATAATGTATATCGGGAGATATAAAATTTACCCCTCCTCAAAATCTCCATAGTTTTAATTAGTAAAAAATTTACCCCTCCTAACTATAGAATCTGGGACTTGTCGATCACTGTGGCTTAGCTGAATGGCTTAGCCGAGTGGTATTTGATCAAATGCCATTTTTTTATTGGCAATACGCAGAGTTTTAGAGGTTGAGCTTTAGATTGTATTGCTAGAGATGGCAATAACCCGCAAACGTCATTTGTTTACATGTTTTTACGTTGTAGCGAACGTGTAAACGCATTATGTTTTGGATGGCCACCAACTTTTTTTCGTAATACTGTATAGGAACTCGAAAAAGATACGTCAGTCATTCATAAATGAAATACTTAAAATTAAATGTAAAATGTATTTTAAGATAAAATTAGAAAATCAGATAATTAAAGTTATAGCACTAAAAATGTTTTTCAATTATTGTCAGAACATTTAGCTCTTAGTTTTTTCAGGTTTAATGATAAGAATAGACAAAGCAAATTGGGTTTAGAATAAAAGAAATAGAAAGAATATATAGAATAAATTCAAGTTTATGTTAGAAATAAAGTTGGGTTTTGAGCTAAATAGAATAAATGAAATTGGAAATAGATTTCAGATATTTAAAATATTGGGTAGTTCAAAATGAGGATTTAGTATGTGCATTAAATATAAGTAAATAATTAATAAAGAAATAGGCAAAAAGTATATTCTCGACGATCACTTGTACCAAAATTTCAACTAATGAAAAACAAAACTTTTGTTGGAGAGATGTGGCTCTACGGTGCGGTTTGTCTAGAAGTTAATCTTTTTCTATTGGAAACTTCTTTAAAGGACGTTCGGCATGCAAGCCAGGAGCATTATTATACAAGATAACTGGCAGAGAGTTGCCACCCAGGTGCCCTTGTATGAAAAATCTTGGTGAAGGGAGTAAGTTATATAGTAGGCTGCTACTTTGTCAACGAAGCTCTAGGCCATTATTTTGAAGAACACAGGGAAAATAACAAAAGTTTTAGATTTTAACACACTCTTTAGAAGTTTTGAAAGTACCTGCAACCGAAAACCTCTACTATATTTTTGCTATTTTGGAATTTTTTTTGAAATTTTGACCAAGAGATTGGCAGTGTTTACTCTTTCCAAATTAGAACGCGTCTACTGAAATAGAACCTCCCATGAGCTTATTTAGATTATGATTTGTCAAATAAACAATGACGGCGGTACTGTTTACAGTATAGGGGATCAGAGGAATCATGTGTAAAAATTTCTTAATGTTAGACATTTTCTTTTATCTTCTTTTCCACTTCTTTTATTATATATAGTGTTAGATTAGATTTTATTCTATACAACATTATATAATTTATATAGCCTTGCACAGGCAAAAATAGTGCCATCATGGCTGTCCTTTTTTTTGGCCTTTTTCTTCTTTTCTCTCTTTTTCTTTTTTGTTTATTTTTTGTTTTTGTTTAGTTTAGATTTTTCTCTTTTTTTTTTACTATTTCTTTTATTTCGTAAATTTCCCATTGTTCTTTGGTAGAATTCTTCTATCTAGGAGGCTAGGAGAAG